AATCGGGATTAGTCCTGCAGCCTTTTCAAGAAAGATAAAAAGTCAAGAACATAGTAGGTTAAAACTGCTGTATTTAACGAATCTACTGATTAAGTATTAACACCAACACTGGCCGAAGGGTGGCAGTTTATCGCTCCTGGGCTTCTGCATCCTCTAATCCAAATGCTGAATTTCTTGTTCCCAGTTTTTGTATCGAAACATCCAAATGGGAGCAAGGGCCCCTTTGTTCTCCAATTCAACTAAAGAGTGCAAGAGCAGGCGGATTCCAGAGTCCCTCCAAAGTGCCCTTCCCCGGCCAGGCCGTTTGAAGCGAAGAAGCCGACCTCTCCCTCCTGTGGCCAGCAGGTGGCGGTGGAAGATGCGAGAACCCCCCAACCCCGCAGTTCCTGGTCCTCACCTTTAATCAAATGCAGCTGCTGAGGGTGAAAATGCAGATCGTATGTTTATAAAATGGGAAGCCATTCGATTGTGCATAATTTCCTTCTCTCATGTTTGCAAAGAGACAGAGTATATGTAGTGCACATGGAGAATTATGATTGCTTCCTTTCCACCCCTTTTCCAGGGCTAAAAAGGCAGGAGTGTTTGGAAAATCTGTGTTGCCTTTCATGTGGGTTCAAATCAGCGTCTGGGGCTGCATCTGAGGCAGAAGGTTGGGATTCCCAAGTGGCTAAAAAAGACACATTCATGCTCAGGGCTTCTCCTGGAACCAAGGCCACCAGCTCCCTTCTGGTGGCCTCCCAGTTGCTTTACTTTGGCAGGGCTTTTATGAATCCGTTAAGAGAAAAAGTCAAGAACAAGAGGCCTTCCATAGTTTATGATCAGCCTAAATACCGATAATCTTTAAATTTGTGAGTTTGGGGAGGGGGGGGGTCAATCATTGGAAAATTCAACAAATGAGGCCAAGAACCATCTACGCAGAAAAGTGACCAAAGAGAAGATACCAAAGGCTCTGTGGCAGGCAGGCCAAATAACTGTTGGATTCTTTAGTTCACGTTTACTCTAGAGTCCACAGTCATCAAATCATTTTGCACCTGTTGTTACTCACACTCCAGTGATGCTTGCAGGGGGCAAAACCTTGTTTACAATCAGCAACAAGGAGTTTGTAGTTGCTGAAATAACATTTCCCAGCATCCCTGCTGGCTATGCTTTCTGGAACCATTGGGATTTGTAGTTCAGCATCTGGAGAATTCCAACCCCTATTTCTGCATAAACACCTACTCCAGAGCATGTAACATACACCACCTTGGCAACTCTTAATTACCTGACCCTGATTTCCCCCACCCTCCATGCACCCCAGCACTTTCCCTTGTGTCAATTTTCAAAGACTCCTGATCCAAAATTGTTGTAAGTCAAGGACTACCTGCATTGGCACCTCCTCCTGGAAGGGGGGGGGGAGGCACACAAAGCATTTCCGGTAATCCGATGGCTTGGATTCCTCATTTGCCTCTGCAATAACTATGTGAAATGCACAACTGTCAGTCAATATAGGAATGGGATGTACACCCAGCAGGAGTAGAACAGAAGCCAGAACTGTCAAAACTCACTGAATGAGATCATGACAGAGCTGATTTTTTATCCCAAACTGACCCTAGAGCTTTTGGTCTATTCAGTATTTACATATATAAAGACATCATTCTTCTATCTATATTACTTATACATTTGTCTTATCTACTTTCATTCTTTTATAATTACATACATAACCTTAATTCTCCATTCTATGAATTCTGGTCAGTTAGTATTTTTCATCCTTCCTTTCCATTCTAACCATTGATAAAATTTATTCCATATCTTGTAGTATTCTGACTCATATTTATTTTTCAATTCCAGCGTTAAACTATCCATTTCCGCACATGTCAAAAAAATTTTTAATCACTTCATCTTCTCTGGGATTTCCTTATTTTTCCAATTTTAGGCAAAGGTCATTCTTGCTGCTGTTATAATATGTATTATTAAGTAACTTACCTCTTTACTATATTTCCCATTTATAATTTAATGGTTTATATTCTATTTTTTCTCCAGTTAATTCTGCCAGCCATAAATGAATTTTCCACCAATACTCCTTTGCTTTTTTACGTGACGACCACATATGTAGTACGTGCCTGATTCGTGGTTGCGTTTCCAACATTTTGGTGATAAATTTCTAAACATTTTTGTCAATCTTGCTGGTGGAAGAGGCCACCTGTAGAACATTTTATATAAATTTTCTTTATACGGTAAAGAAAATGTATACATTCTTATTGGAGAATGGTGGAGGAGCAAGTCAAGGAAACGATGGTGGCAAGGGCAATAAATTTTGGGTACAATATACAATTGGAAAAATGGCAAGAATTATGGGGTTTTCCCATTTTTTAATAGGAAGATAACATTGGCAATACACAAGAATAAGAGAATGATTAGGAAGATTGAATTTAAAAGTAAAGATGATTGTTGATGCAGAAAGTTGTAAAATACTATATGTTATTTGTTTTGTAAATTACCATTTGGTGTATGTGTATGTTCTTTTTTTCTTTTTTTGTTCTTTTTTTTTTTCTTTTTCTATTATGTTTTCGGTTTTAAAAATGTAAAATATTCAATAAATTTTTTTTAAAAAAAACATTGGCAATACCATGTAAAGACACGGGCAACATTTTCATGTTTTCATTCCTTCTTTCCTGCCTGGCTTTTCTCTCCATCTTTGGGTGCTTCTTGCTAAGTTCTTTCCTCCCTGCAATCAGCTGAACCTATCTGGGATGCCAGTGAGCAAATGTTCCAGGACCTGTTTTCCAGACCAGCAGCTCATAACTGCCTCTGGTGTGAACCTGGAGGTTAAGCCAGTTCTATGTTTCTCCTAGATGTCACAGAGGTCCCATGCAGCAGTGAGAGGAAGATGTGTCCTCAGGGTCTTCTCAGCTGCACTATTCAGCTGTGGATCACTTCTTCATGCCCTTGTCAGTCAGTCACCCTTTTCTTCAGAAGACTGGTCCCTACCCACATGGAGGTCCCAGGAAGCCTCTTTCCCTGGATAGTGATTGGACTGGCAGCCTCCCAACTTGTCTTCCATAATCAACTCATTAATGTTGCTGGTGTTTTCTGCGACAAAGGGTCTCTCACAACATTTCCCTGGATGACACCATGCAGGGTGGGAAACACACAAGTCTCCCCCAAAGGAGGAGGGAGATGGCAGATTCTTGGAGCACCTCAACAAGCAACAACTACAACGTCCACTTGATGTGAAATGCAACGTAAGCCTTCCCATCAGTTTTTATCAAGGAAAACAGCCAAGTAATGAATCAATGCAAAACCAGAACCATAAAATCGGGCAGAGACACATAGGAAGAAAAGGGCAAAGACAAAGCACCACATAGCAATTCCATGCACTCCTGCCCACTGCTCTATGCTCATGACAGTCCCGCCATAAAGCATAGTTTGTGGCCTTGCGTACTGTAGGAAACAAGATGGCTGGGTTTGGGGGAACAAAGGCTCTGTGTGCTGAGTGGAAAGAGCAAGAGCAGGCAGGCGGAGAGATCTCCAGCCAGGGGACCTTAGGACAGCCTTAGGACTTGTGAGTGATACTGACCCAGGGGCTTGCATAACGTTACCAGGCTGTGACAAAGGTCCTTCCGATTGTCCTCATGTTCTCCATCAGGCAGGCAGAGCTTTCAAAATCAAATGCGGTCCAGTTTTTTGAGCATCAGTTTCTGAGCAGCTTTTCTGTCAGTGATGGGCGTCTGTGCCTTTAATTAGTTGATTAATACCTCCCACCAGTTTGGTCTTGCTCCCTGAACTTGACAAGACTTCAGTCAGTTCCCTGCTGAAGGCTTCTGCCTCCTTAGGCACATTCCTGCCATTGAAAAAGCAGACTTTTTGATCCTGGAAAAAGTAATTTCAGGGGTACTTAGGCCTAAGTCTGTCTGTCTGTCTGTCTGTCTCTCTCTCTCTCCCATCTCATCATTTATTTGCTGCCCATTTCCCAGTTCAGTAAAACACCTAGTGTCTCCCCTCCCCCCTCCCCCTTGTTCTCCTTTCCAGTTCTCCGTGTCCCCTTTCCCTGTCCAGATCTCCAGGAACCAATCCCAGGCTCCCCAAGTGGCCAGGTCTCTCCTTCAGGTGGTGTCCTTGATGCCTTCTAGGGCTCTGCCTCTCAGCTGCTGTGGCCAACCTTTCCCCTTCTGGTGCCCAGCAGCCCTGGGAAAGAGCAGCCAAGCGGCCAGCAGAACGGCACCAACCGGACCAGCGGGACTCCCGTGGGCTCGCACGCTCCCAGGCGCTCCCAGGGAGAGAGGCGGGAGGGAGGCCCGCGGTGGAAAACCAGCGCTGTGGGACGGGGCGGCGACAGCGGCGGCGGGCCTCCTCTCCCTCCCGGCCTGTCGCTTGTCCTGTCCTGACATCTAGTTCGGCCAGCTCGGCGCCATCAGGAAGGGAAAGAGCGCGCAGGAAAACTAATTACACAAAATCAATATTTAATCACAGCTCGGCATCCTGACCCTGCAGAGTGCCCCCCCAAAGCTGCCTGAGCCCCTTATTTATGGAGCTGGGAGCGGAGGGGACGGCAGGGGACGGTGGAGGCTGGAGAGGCCCGGCCCGGGACCGGACGGCAGGAAGAGAGCGGCTCCCGCAGACTCGGGGGCGGCTCGGGGGCGCTCCGTGCGGTTCCCGCGCCAGGCCGGAGGGGAGGCGGACGACTCGGCGGGGAACGACGCTTTCCATGCAGTGACACCGCCGCGCTCGGGGCTCTTTAAGGAGGTGCGTCGGCCGTCGAGCCCCGCAGGCGCTGAGCGACAAGGGCAGCCCGGCGCTCGGCTCGGACGCCAGGAGACCTCCGCGGCCTCCGGCTCCCCACTCGGGGCTCCCCGCAAGCGGGCCGAGCGCTCGGCGGGGGAAGGGCGGCGGCGGCGGCGGCGGCGGCGGCGCCACCTTAAGAGGGAGCCCCGCCCCGCCGGGCCGCTGATTGGCGCAGCTCGAATGGCTGGACGGCATTGCTGAAATGCAAAACTTGTTGCTGCTTCCCCGGCGCGCGGCGAGAGCGCGGCAGAGCCAGGAGCCCGCCAGCCCGCCAGCCCGCCAGCCAGGGAAGCGGCGCCCCAGTCGCGCAGCCCATGAAGGGTGGCCAGGCCCGGCGGGGTCCCCCCTGCCGCCACTCCGGCGCCGGACGGCAACTGCCGCGCAAGATGTGAGCCGGTCGTGAGGCGGCGGCGGCGGCCGATCTCTCCCCTGCCTGCCTGCCTGCCTGCCTGCCTGCCTGCCGGTGGCGCGGACTCTCTCGGCCGGCCGGCCGGCCGGGATGCCTCGTTGAGGATCTAGTCAGCCGGGACTGGAGCCACAGAGTCGCAGGCACCGGCGGGATGTTCGCGCTGGATCCGTTCGACCCACACGGCGGCGGCGGCGGCGGCGGCGGCGGCTCAGGCAGGAGCGGGGTGCCGGGCGAGCGGGGCGGCGGCTTTGGGCCGGGCGCGGGCTCCCAGTTCAAGCCGTCGCCCTTTCACGGCGGAAGCAGCGGCGGCGGTGAAGCGGCGGCCGTCAATGCCCTGGGCGAGTCCTCTTCGACCCTGCTGGCCATGAACCTGACCTTGTCCGGGGAGGGCTATGGCGCTTTCCACGGCCCCCGCGGCGGCCCTCCGGAGTTGGGCCCGGCCCAGCCGATCCACGGATTCTTCGGCAGCCCGCCGCCTGGCCCGGCCGCGCACCACCAGACCCAACCCCCGGTCTCGCACTTCGGCGGTGGCTTCGGGCCCGAACCCAGCGCCTCCTGCCTGCACGGCGGCCGCCTCCTCGGCTATTCGGGAGGCCAGCAGACGTTCGCGGCGGACGGCGGCTACGAGCAGCATCTGGCGGACGGCCAGGCGGGCGGGGATGGCTTCGGACAGCAGAGGGCGGGACCCCTCCAGGACTTCCAGCCGCCGCCGCCGCCGCCGCATCATCTTCACAATCCCGGCGTGCCGGCCCCGTGCCTGCCGCTGGACCAGTCGCCTAATCGCGCTGCCTCCTTCCACGGCTTGCCGGGAGCCGCCTCCTCAGAACCGCACGGCCTGGACTCGCAGAGGCGGCTGCCTAGCCAAGGAGCAGCCGCGGTGGATGCCCTGGAATATAGTTACCCGAACAGCGAGAACCATTTCGACTTGCCCGTTTTCTCGTCGTCAGAGGCCGAGGGGCAGCTGCCGCAGTACGGCTCCGGACGACAGGCGGCTCCGCCGGGAGGCAGCAATTTCCCTGGGCACTCGGCGGCCTTGCCCCGAGCGCCGGGCTCCCTAGGGAAGGTGCCCAGCCAACAGCCCCCTCACGGCGTCTTCTTCGATCGGTTCGGCGGCGCTCGCAAAATGTCTCTGGGGCTGGAGCCGGGCCTGGGCGCCGGAAGGCACCACCTGGTTCAGCAACAGCCGCCGCCCCCGGCTCTCCTGGCCAGGCAGAATTCCTGCCCGCCGGCGCTGCCGCGGCCACAGCAATGCCCAGAGGGAAGCGCCGCCAACGCCAACCTGCAAGACGGCGGGGGCCCGATTTTGCCGGCGCAGCACGGCCAGTTCGAGTATCCCATCCACCGGCTGGAGAACCGGGGCCTGCAGCACCACCCCCACCACCCGCAGCAGCAGCAGCATCCCTACGGCCCGGCAGAGCCGCTTTTCAACGTGGCCCACCAGCACCAGCAGCCCCAGCAGCCGCCCAACCAGCGATTGCAGCACTTCGACGCGCCCCCCTACGTGAACCTCCCCAAGAGGCCCCGTTTTGATTCGTGGAGCGGCGGCGGCGGCGCAGGCATGCACGGGGCAGCCGCCTTGGAGAGCCACCTGTCGCCCTCCGCGGCCTATCCTGGCCTGCCGGGGGACTTCACTCCGCCGGTGCCTGAGCATTTTCCGCCGCCGCCGCCGCCGGGCTCGGATCCCCAGGCGGCTCTGCAGCAGCGCCAGAACGCGGCGCTGATGATCAAGCAGATGGCGGCCACCCGCGGCCAATCTCAGCGCCTCCGTCCACCCGGCCTGCAGCAGGTCGGGCACCATCAACATCCTCACGCTGCCGGCGGCCACGGCCATCACCAGTCCCCGCACCAACACCCGGGCGAAGCCGCTTTCGAGGCGCAGGAAGGTGCTTGGTTCCCGCCGCCTCATCCTCCGGCGGGCAGCGGAGATTTGCTGTTCCGACCGGGAATGGGCGGGTTGCAGGAGCCGCCGCCGGCCCTGCGGATGTCCTCCGGGGGCGAAGGACACGTCCCCTCGCCAGGCGGCCTGCAAGGTCAGTTCGGCTTGAGCCCGCCGTCGGAGAGGCGGCCGAGCCACCCCGACTTCGCAGCGCAGGCGCAAAGCTTTCCTTTTGGGGGCCCCAGCCGCCAGGCCACCCCGCACAGCGCGTCGCCCGGGTCCTTTGGGCCGCCGACGGACTTCCAGAGCTCTGCGCCCCCTCCGTCGCAGCCCCGGCCCTCTCCGGCCAGCAGCAAGCTGGGCGCGCTCTCGCTAGGCTCTTTCCCAAAAGGGGGTGTCGGGGCGCCGCCCGGGAGCGCGGGCCCCAAGGAGAGCAGCGGCCTCTTCGGACAGAGCTGCCTGGCAGCGCTCTCCACCGCCTGCCAGAACATGATCGCCAGCCTGGGTGCGCCCAACCTCAACGTCACCTTCGGCAAGAAGGGCGCGCCCGCGGGGGTGGGCGGTGGGGCCGGCGGAGAGGGCGCCAAGCGGAACAAGCTTAGCCCCGCAGAGACTCCCGAAACAAACGGCGCAGGGCCGCAGCCTCCCCTCCCGGCCGCGACGGTTCCTGCGGGCGAAAACGGCCTCTCCCCCAATTACTCCCCTGGATCGGGCCCCGAGGCCAAAGCGGGAAGCGGACGAGGCAGGGGACGCAGGAAACGGGACAGCGGCCACGTCAGCCCAGCCGCCGGGGCGACTGGCGGCTTCTTTGAGAAGTATGGCCCGACGGCGGGCGTCGAGAGCGGCAGCCCCGGACAAGGCGGGGAGCGAAGCGGCGGCGGCACCCCCCATCTTCACGAGCCGCCCAAGGCGTTGAGTTCCCCGCCTTCTACCTGGGCCAAGGGCGGCGGCGACCTCCTTCTCCAGCCTCCCGCAGAGCAGGCCGATCTCCTTCCCTCCCTGGACCAGGCTGAATCCTGCTCCCCGCGCGGCGGCGGCGGCGGCGACTTCCCCGGCGAGGCGGAAAACGAGGATGAGGTGTCTTCCAGCTCCGACAACCAGGGAGCCAAAGGGTGTCCCGCCGGGCGCAGCCCTCTTCAGCCGCCGGGCCGCCCGGTCGACCACCCGCTCCTGAATGGACAGAAGCCGTCGGCGCTGGCTCAGCTGGGCCTGCACGGCGGCGGCAGCACGGCTACCTCCAGCCCTGAGAGCTACGGCGCCGGGCCCCCCGGGCCGGTGCAGGAGGAGATTCACCCGCTGGAGATCCTGCAAGCGCAGATCCAGCTGCAGCGTCAGCAGTTCAGCATCTCCGAGGACCAGCCGCTGGGCCTCAAAAGCGCCAAGAAGGGCCCCGAAGGCTCGGGCGGGGGCCAGAACGGGGACAGCGGCGAACTGAGCAGCTGTTGCGAGGGCGCCGGAGCCAAGGGCGCGGTGAGCACCATCGACCTGGAATCTCTGATGGCCGAGCACTCCGCCGCGTGGTACCTGCCCGGAGACAAAGCCCTCCTGGACGGGGAGCCCGACGAGAAGGTCCTGGTGCCTTGGGAGAAAGCGAAGGCGCCCACGGCCGGCAAGGAAGGTAGGGGCGTCCGCCGCCGCGCTCCGCGAGGGCCGGAGTCCCCTGACCAAGCGTTACTCCAGGACCCTACTTCCCCCGGGCGCGGTGCAGATCCGAGCGCCACTCTCCCCTCCGCGTAGGCGGCTCTGCTGCTGGGGCGCCTTTGCCTCGCAGCTGTGTCTCCACTGGGAAGCAGAGCAGCAGCGTGGGAGCAGCAGGTACCCAGGAAGACACACACACACACACACACACACACACACACACACACACACACACACCGCCTTTATGTAGGGAATCAGGCTGGAGCCCCCACCCAAATCCCGGGCCCGAGGAGGGAAAAGTGGCGCGGTCCACAAGCGCTGCCGCGTGAACATTCAGGACGAAATCCCCTAAGCAGGAGCTGCCCTTTCGTAGAAACGCAGGGCTGGGGTGTCTGGAGGCCGCGTCCCGCTCCCGGGAGGGGGGCGGGGAGAGACCGTCTTGGGAGGCAGAAGATCTTTTTGCCTCCTAATTTCACCCTTTCAGAGTTTTGCCCAACACAGTGACTTTTGCGGAGATTGGGTGGTGGTGGGGCTTTTAAGGCGGGTAGGATATTTTAGAGAACCTTAAAAACATCGGGGGTTTCCAGGGACCCGCGAGTGGGGTCGGTGCGGTTGCAGCTTGAGACAGCTGCATTCCGCTGGTCTGATTTGCTTTGGCTCCTCGACTTCCAACTCTGCCGGATGGGTGAGCCCTTCTGGATGCAAGGAGCCTCCCTGGCAAGGGGCCCCAGAGGAAAGAGGGGATGCCCAGGAGAGAGCCCACCCCATCGCCAAGGCTTCCTTTGGGCAAGAACATGGGGGGCTCCTTTCCCACCAGCCTTCCTTGCATTTTCTTTCATTGACACCAGATCTGACTGGATCAATAGCTTGTTAGCGCACAAATCACTCCCATCTCGCCAGGCTGGCCCAGCCATGCTTTTCCTTTGTGTAAGCAGCAAAGTTTCCGCTTTGGAATCTGAGGTTGATGGGATGAAGGAGACCCAGGAGAGAGGAGCCCATCAGCTGGTGGCTTTCCTGCTTGCTTGATTGCGCCTGTTCTTTGCACTGGGATGTGAGTGCAGGAACTTCCCGGACTAGGAGAAAGGAAAGATTGGAGAGGCAGTTTCAAGTTGCATTTCAGCATCCTGGAGCTTTTCAAATGGGAGAAAAGTGATGCAGCTTTAATGCTGGTAGTTTGTCCAAGGTCACCAAAGGAGTGAAGATTGGGAAAGGGAAAAGGAAATCTTTGCCTATTTTTTTGTTTGAATTATTTTGCTCAAGCTATATCTTATGCTATCCTTTTAGGTAACTTTTTGAAATTGAAACTGGCTGTTTCTGTGGGATGCAAGCGGTGGGATCCGATGCAAGCCCATCCATGCAATCGTCTTTCCTGTGGAGAATTTCATGGGGTGATTCCCAAGTTGTTCAGGAGATCCCTGGCTTTCTTTCATTTCCTCCACAAGTGACAGAGAACCCAAAGAGAGATCTTCTATGCACACTGCACTGTGTGATGAACAGAGCAAGAGTTATTTCTAGATAAATGTGCCAAGACCCGCGGTGTTATAGAATAGCAGTTGCAGAATTTCTATGCATGACTTTTGGAGATGGTTTCATTTTGAAGTTGAAAACAAGCCACTGAGGGGGCTCTCGGGTTTCCCTTGAGCTGCATTCCAGCAGCTTGATTCTGAAATCAGGGCTAGCTGAAAGAGAGAGGATTGCAGGTGGGCACCCTCCTCCCCCCTTCGCAGGTAGGCAAGAGCGTTCTCTGTCCTTTGAGAGGGGCAGAGAGTCCCCAGGATGCTGCTCTGTAGCAACCTACTGCAACCTGCAATAGCAGCAGCAGCAGCAGCAAATGCCTTTGGTGGCTGTAAGGCAAAAGGTGGAAGGCTGTGGTCTAGCTCCTGTTCTCCTTCCCGGGCTATTCCAGGATGCTGGTTTGGTTGCCTGTCATAGAACGCATAAATCTGTCAGTGGAAGAAGCTGCCACATGGGATGGTGTGAACATGAACATTCATGGAAGAACCGCTTCAACATGAAATGTTAATCTGGCCACACGAGGACAGGGTTTTTTGTCTCTACCAGCTCTTCCCGCATTCTGCATCTTTGGTGGTTTGTTTTTTAAGCTGCCGAGGGGTTGTGAGGAGGAAGTCTTAAAGGGTTGGTTCTGAAATATCTCTGGTTGAAATTTAAAGGATGGGAAAAGCATGGAAATTGCTTTCTGGCATCAAAAGTGGACTGAAAATCTGTTAAAGGTGATGTGTGTTTGTTGCTGTAGCAGCACCCCTTGACCCTCTGGCCCAGGAGACTCTTTGCTGGCCTGCTGTGCATCCTGGCCTGAAGACGGGAAATCACTACCTGGGATGCATAAGGCAAAGTACCCAGAACCAAGGATAGGAAAGTTGTCCATCGCTGCTGGGCTTAAGGATAGGACAAAGGCTTTTAAGGCAAATGACTTTACCAGGTGAGCAAAGCACCAGTGCCCAGGCTGTGTCCTTCACAGGCATTTGCAGGAAAGTTTCTTCCAATTTCAGTCATATTTCTGAATACCTCTCAAGCTAAAGTTTGCATATCAGTTGCCATTAAAGGCTGGGGCTGGGTAGACCAAATGCTGCTTAAGCTGTTTGTTATCCCTTTTTATTCATTCCCACAAAAGCAAACCACTTCTAACATTTGTAGGGAATCCCATGTGGTGTCCTTTGCACATGGAATGGAAACAGGTGGAACTGCTGAGCCACCATAGCTTAGTATGCTGACCTACGGCCCTTGTGGAATGTTATGCTGGGCTGATTCGTACCCTCCTGTATGGCCATAAGTCTTTGCAGTTCGTAGTTTACTTTTTATTTTCGTACCTGTGCTTTATATTCTCATGCATTTTTAAAATTAATCCTGTTGGTTGTGATCAATGTTTCAGTTTGGAACTGTGTATTTTAGAATACAAAAATTAGATATTATTTAATATTTCAAAATTTGCTTATAGAATTAAATATATTTTCCTTTGGTTTATCTTCTGCTGTAATTTCTTATTTTTTTCTGTGCTTTGTATAGTGTTTCTTAGCCAGAAAGGCAGGAACATGATGCATAAATTCCATAAGTTTATTTATTTATTTCATAAATAAACTTCCTAAGCGGTAAAAGAAAATAATTGCACAATGCTAACGGAGGGACTCAAGTTGCAGAGGCGGCTTTTATGTAAACAGACAAAACCTCTCCGTAAACCATCCTGGAACACAGTCTTGCTTTCCTTGAATGACTTTAATAGTTGTGCCTGAAGACTGTCCGTGTTACAGATACAAGTAGTGAGCAACGCAGCCTCATCACAGAGGAATTTGCAGTTGCACACATGACAAACCCTTTCACAAACGGAGTGTTGTTTTGTCAATTCCATCTGGATGACTGAGAATCTTCATCGACAATTCTTGCTGCAGTTTCCTCCTGTTGTGGAGTTCATTGAGTATCTATCTCTCTGACAGTGGGTAGCCTCCCAGGTCTAGGCAGAAGCACAGCGTGCGTCTTTTGGCCTGTGTTTGTTGGGTTGGGAATAGGGAACTATTCTTTGCTACTCTAACCAGAGAAGGAAAAACTGTATGCCATCTCTATTTGGACATTGAGGGTGTTCTTCTCTAGGTCTACGCAGCCTGAATTTGGGTTTAAGATAGGAAAACCCGAGTCTTGGAAGGTTCCTTTGAACAGCAAAGCGGAAGGAAACAGGATTGCTTTTCATCTTTTTAAATTAAGCATTAATTTGGGCATAAGAATTGGAAAGGAATGTCAAAAATCCCCCTGAGGAGCAAAATGCTAGTCAACATCTTATCACCTAGACGATGGTTTGGGGTTAAAAATGAGAGAGCATCCTGGCCTGTCTTGTTAATGGCAGTTCCCCGAGAGGCAGCCTTGGGGATATCCAACAGAGACATGGCAGAAAGAACGGGCCTTGAGCCGCCTCTCTCTCTTAATGGCATTTCATTTTTGCTGAAATATACCCGTCGTTCTCCAGCAGATTTATGTACTTCTAAGATTATGTAGTGAAGATTTTCCTGATTGCTTTAAATCTTAAATTAGTGGAATTTGCTAGTTGGAGGGACTATCTATTAATTTTGGCCAGCTGAACTTCTTTATCCTTTACAGGGAATCAGTGAGATGATTGTACTGCATAAAAGAAAAAGAGGGGAAACCCGTCTGTTAATCTTTGGCTCCTCTGATAAAAGAGATGTTGCCATTTTCATTGTGTGGAGCTGAGCTTCCTACAAGAGGTGAAGGATACAGATGGTAGAATCACTAGCCGCTTTTCTCTTTAAGTGGAGAAGCATTGCCAGGTTCATTAATGCTCAGCATTTGAAGAGAGAAAAATATACTTCTTTCAAAATGACAAAATGGTTTGTTTGTGAGATGCACTTAATTTTAATTTGGTAAAGGATGTGCATCAAATATCTGAAAGAGGAGTCTCTGTCCACAAACTTTCTGGATATAAACACCCAGGATAATTTCTTAGATATGGTTTTATAATGAAGGATTAGTTATTTTAAGACTTAATGTATAGATTAATAATAGCATTCAGTATTAGTCTGACTATTCAGTGCTAAAATATTAGAATACTACCTACCAAATGCAGATATTTTTCTTTCATTTTCAGAAGTGAAAAATTATGTGAATTGAAGAAAATACTATTATTATATCAAGTTGAAATAGTGTTGCTAATATCAAGACAGCTTAATATTTTTATTGGTTACTGAAGACAATGTTATATGCAGGTTATTCATTGGGAGGTCCCAGCATGTCTCTTACATGCATAAATATAGAGAGAATGCTTGTTCTTAAAATAGTAATTTTTGACCAAGAATTTCTGTGATCTCACTCCTAAGCATTCTTGCTTGGAATTTGGGGGAATTTGCTTGCAAGGACAGGTTCTGCTCATTCAGTTGAGGCTACACTAGGACCAATATTTAGTAATCGCTATGAATTAATAGTTCATTTACTGTTTTGTGGTTGTTTTATACAAATGAT